TTTGTGCATCCGAATAGCTGATGTAGTCTGATGGACTTTTTTTACATTTTTCATTAATTACAATTACGTACATTTATAATAATAAATTTATTTTTAATTTTCTGCACATAAAAGCGAAACACTGCTCGTCTCAAGTAGCGGATTAATATCAGAAAACAATAGTGACGTCTATTTTGATCTAGAATATCTATCGAGACGTCGTCATAACTTTTAATTGCGCTACTTGAAGTGTTTACACCTCGATGCGAATCGCGGTTACGGATATACGATTATGATAACAGTAACTCGATATACTTACACACGGGAGTGATAAAAATTCACTCATGAAGGAAATAAAGAAATTACAGTTACCAATGAAATAAAGTGCTAGTGGGTCACTTCGTCTTACGTGATAAGTTAATGCTCCCGGTAATTTGGTAGTTTTTTCCTTGGCCGTCAAGACGGAGTCGTAAACGCGTGTTTCGAGCCGAGGAGATACGCTCGACAGGCGGCGGCGCCGTTATTTCGAAGGTGCTCACCAGTGCTGACGAAACCAGTTTTTATCGTTTATCCGCCGAATGTTATTCGATCGAGAGCATTGGCTCCGTTTACAAACTTACTAGTATATACCCGCACGTTACGTGGATGACGTTGGATCGGTTTTTTTTTTATTTTCCGGCTCTCGAGATGTGTATACCTTGCGAGCGGATATCGTGCGGTACAATCAGCAGTTGTCTAGTCGAGGCAGATAATTACACGGCGCGTGATCACACAAATTCTGTAAATCTACAATTGTATAATAAGAATCGTCCATTTATAGTGGCGAAATAATAAATAATCAGGTCCCAAGTACACTATCTCCCGCGTGAATGTTTCGACAAATATTTCAAGTTTGTCTTTCCTTCAGCAAACGTACATCGTCGATATCTTCAGCATTATATTTTCTTTTCTAAAAGAATATACTTCATTGCAGCTCTTGACGAAAGTGTGCCAAGCACCAGGCGGACACGCGGCTGTTTCGGAAGCGGTATCGACTCTGAGACTCAAATACGGGGAAGGAGGGAGATTTCGATTTTTAGCAGGCGCTCTTTTAGCCCCGAGAGCAGCCATCGCGTTGAGGGTTGCAGGAGTTTCGTTTCTAAACGCTTTTCTGAAATCTGCACCCCGTACGCAAACCAAGTTGTACATTCAGGTAAGAAATACTGTAAAATATATCCACCATATTCATTTTGTTTTTACTTTTGTTTCCTGCAATCCTTTCACGTCCAGAGTGACAATCGGGAAACTAAATAGCTGTCATCTTGATGACTATTAAGCTGAAAATTGCTCCTTGTTTGGAGTCTTACTATTTACATTTAAAGCCTTTGTCCGATATATCGGATAACAAGGATATGTAGTCTCCATTATTTCCATATGAGGGATACAAATATTTCGCTTTCTTTTAGGCTGAAGCCTGCGAAGCTGGTTTAGAGCCGCAGGTACTTCAGGAATGGCTTAGGGAATTTGACGGACGCGAAGAGGACGCTTTAACTGATTTACTGCACAAGGAGGTTCAGAGATGGGCGCACAACTGTGTCGACGTGGACGCTCTGCAGCGCAGGGTGACGCGTGCGGAAGAAACTTGTAGGGTACTCAGCAAAAAAGTGTCGCTTTTGCAGATGCAATTGGAGAAACGAAATGACTGCAACTTGGAAGAACGAGATAAATCCGCGCCGGTGATTCTTGTTGCTGCTAAAAGCCCGAAAGTATCTTCGAACGCGGAGGATGAAGGTATCAGCTCTTCGGAGAGATCCAGCAGTCCTGAAGATACGAAGCATCAAGTAAGAATCAATCGGCAGAAAGCCTCACCTGTGCAAAGCAACGATCAGGAAACAACGATAGACGACGTGATCGAGGAGCTGAGGATCATAGTGAAAGACGCTGAGGAAGAATTCAGCGACAAAACTCAGGAACTGAATCATCGTGCTAATGACAATCAAGAAACTGTCCGTAATAAGCAAGAATCGGATAAAAATAAATTATACCGATCGAATTCCAAGGTCTCGTTGAATAACTCTGAGAGTTATATATACGACAAAATACCCAAGAGAGACCAATATACGGATTTGAAGATAATAAAATCGAATACGGGCTCTAACGCGTTTCAAAATCAGATAAAAAGTGAGCAAGTGACTTATTTCGGCAATGATCAAGATTATAGTACTGATTCGGATGGCACGAAGAAATTGAGTCTTGGGTTGCGCAAAACATCAAAGTCATCGATGGAAGGCAGTGTTAAGATCGTTGTAAAGGGACCCGATGTGGAAGAGGCGATAGTACCGGCTATTCTACATCCACAACCGCCACGAAGGGCACCGCCGTGCTTATCAGCCATCATGTCCGCTAGGCATTGCGACTTCGCTGATCATGCAGAGATGTACAACTCCCACGACGAGGAAGTCGAGGAAGAAACTCTCGGTGACGGCAGCGATTCATTGCTAAGCGCTTCCAAACTCAAATATAACAGCAAACATCAAGTCTATGACGGACAGATGAGAATTATTAATGAGAATCACTTGCAGAAACAAACTAAAAGCGATACTATATTGATAGGCTCGAATCGTATCGATGTTAAATTTAGAAAGAGTCTCGATGATTTGCATCACTTCGAAGATAATGATATAAACGATAGAAAAACTTTGAGAAATTACGATGCTTCGAAAGCAAATATTATTACGGATGTCAGGCCAATTAATAAACAAATCGACGTTTACAGACAATTCGAATCTATTCCCAAGGGATTTGAGACGTCTTCCGGACGATCGGCTGATCAACGGATGGTTCATCGACATAGTTCTAAATATAGAAGCGAGATAGAAAAGAGGAAATTTTTGCGCCGCTCCGCTAGTCACGATTACTTCGAGTCGAATGTGTCCAGTCCACAATCGAGACGGTCGGGGAGTAGAGTGGAGTGTCGTATCAGAAAATTTGAAAGTTTAAATTCTTTCGACGAGCATCGAAGTCTACAGAATTATGAGAGATCAAACGACTTCGAGAATCTTGGTAAACATGAGCAGGTGTCACTGCTGACTGATTCTTCCAGATTTAAAATGCGTAGATCGGAATCTTTCCATCACATCTCTCATCATGTATCAAAGAAAGATCAATGCTCATCGAAAGGGGAAAGCGACAGCGGTCTTTTTTACTTTACGGATTTTAATTTGAAGCCTGTTGTCACGAGACGACCGCGATCAATCGACGCACCAAAGTCTCCCAGTTTGATAACGAAATCCCTGGACAGGATTGATGAAGGCCTAGACTCGATGGTCGACATTGTTATTACGCAAGAGCAAAATCAATGGAACGGGAATAAACGTCAGACAAAAGCGACCAAATCCCGCAACGAGAAGCAGCCGACAAAATCGAGAGTAATCAAATCTGATGATTTTTGTGGTAATTCTTCAGAATTTGATCAAGGAAAGCGAGATAATCTCGTTTTTAGAAATAGAGATATGAAGAACGATGAACTGTATCATGTTAACAATAAGCAATTAAAAAGCGACGAATTCTACGAGGAACAGAGAACTCGCGAATGGAATTATCATAACGAGTTAAATTATGCGAGAAGCAAGGGCGAAACTAACTCATCGGAAGACTCACCAATAATATTATCAAAAAATAGCATAAGACACAATTCCTTTTGCCAGAAAGATAAAGTCAATAACAAGTTCACTAGCAGACCGAACGAATCAGGAATTTTTGCTGGCCGAACATACGATACATTTGGTCTTGGAAAGAATCGTTTCAACGCGGGCAAATATTCGGGAAATCAGCCAATTAAAGAAAATCTAATTAGTCGAAGAAATACAACATCTTCGCTGATTGGGAAACGTGGAAAAGTAACGGACATTGTCTCCGGTCTTTACTGAACGTGTCTTAAGTATAAATCTTGTATGAAACTCTAATGAATCAATGGAAATAATTTGTACAATTTTTCCGTGTATAAAAAATAATTAAGAATTCTTATATAATTTATTCAAGGATAATGAAATTAACACTATGAGATAAAATAATAATAAAAAGAACTGCCAAGTGGTTTACGGGTTATTACCGTATCATAATCCATTACTAATGCCAACGTTTCGTCAATCTTGTCGTTCACTTCATCAAGGCGAGGAGTGCATTGATACACAAACCATTCGCAAATAATTTGGTATCTCTGAAGATAATACCCTCAAAAGAAGGCCTCAAAAGTATTATCAATAAAAAGAGCTTCAGGATCACTAGAATCATTTTGTATGGAAACATTCCAAATATATTGGGATATTATATGTATCACATTGAAAATTGATGCAGAAGAACCGATTATTTTATTTTTCCTTTAGATTCCATGTTAAATTTATACGAAAAAATATAATGTTATTATACCGCCCAATAGTAAAATGAGAAAATATGTGAATTTGAGGATTTATAATTTCCATAAATGTATGAGAAAGCACAAAAGAGAAATAGTACGAACGAATCATTTCATCAATTGATACATGAATACATCATTTCTTATTAAATAGAAATAGACAATGAGAAATGATTTAGAGTGCAATATTTTTGAGTATTATTATGATGCTACATTTGTAATAATTACATTTACGTCGAATATACACGTTTTAACAACGAATACACGTTTTTTCATAACAACAAATAATTTTTTTGGTGATGGACTCTTGTGTGCCTTCACTACATTGTGTGATACAATTCTTTGTTAACGATTATATATGCAATAGTAGTGCAAGTGCCAACTAAGACTGTACTTCGTACATTTCT